AAACACATTTCAGTCGTTGTGGAAGAATATTTTACCGAAGGAAAATCAGTAACCATTAAGTAATTAAAGTTCTCATACATTCGGAGCTAGAGCTGAGCTTAAGCTTAATTCCCAACAGGAGGCAGTGACACGACCATGGTGGGACCTTGATAGCAAGGAAATCTCCTCCAGCCACAGAAGGGAAGAGACAACAAGTGTTCCTTTAGATCCCTAACATTTCCCATCATCGAGCTGCAAAGTAGCCCCTGGGGTGGGTTACAAAGCTGCCCCGTTTCTGCCTCTGAAAGCATTTTGTGAGACCAAATAACATCTGAACCCCCTCTGGGGCTGATAACATTTTGTGAGGCCAGAATCCAGTGCTCAGCAAACACCTCCTGCACAGCTCTGTGTGCAGGGCTCCCCAGTGCCATTCCTCCTCTGTTCTGTCTGTCCTCTGGCTTCAGGTAGCAAAGCATCTTCCTAATGGGATTTCAGAAGTAGGAAAAGGTTTGTACAAATCAAACTAAAGGCACCACTCCCAACCAGAGAAGGGGGGGTGAAAGGAATTGCTTTGGCAGAGAAGGGACAGCTGAGTTACCCACTCTGCTCAGATTCCCTTTTCCAAGTCCTATCTCTCACTTGGATTTATTAACAGTCTGTAGTGCAAGAGAGAAGTTTGACCAGTGGTGCCTCAATCTTACTTTGAGCCCACACCTTTATCCAGGAAGGATGAGAGGGAAGAACCTGGCAGGGAGATAATCCAATGAAGACACTGGCACCAAACCCACCCCAGAATGCTCTGATAAAACTGGAGCTACTTCCTCAGCACAGAACTGCAACAGCTCCCCTTTATCTGATGTTTTCTTCAGCAAAGCAAGTAAAAAGTTTGCATTTCTAGTGCAGGTGCCAACAAGCTGAATTTGTGCCAAACCAAGGGCAGTTATTTGTTTGGAAAACAACACTCACCATGTGTGGAGAGCTCCGAGTGATGCTTCTGCAGCTTCCACAAGGGCAGACACCTGGGATTTGTGGCAAAACACAGAAAACTCCTCTGAGACCCTATTTCCTATCAGTATGTGAGAGGGACTTGCCTGAGTTGAAATGTACTGGGACTGGAGGTCGGGGTCAACATCTGAAATCGTCCCAAGAGCCTCAAGGCTCTGCAGGGAAGGATCTGACCTGGAGTGCACTCCCTGAATGTGCAGCCACATTCTGCCCTTGTTCTCAGGGCTTTCCTTCCCAGGAGCATTCCCCCAGAGTGAACCAGCACGAGCTGTTTCCCACACAAACACATCCCACGGGGCTCTGCACACCCTTACCATCACCAAAATTGCTTTCAATACACAAATTGCTTTTCAGACACAGCTCCCACCTCGATGCTGCTGTGAGCAGCAGCCAAGAGGTGACCATCACAAGAAGAACAAATTCCAGGAAATAATTTATCTGGCAAGAAGAGGAAATCTTGTAAAAAATGGGTGTTATTTACCAACTAAAATCTCCTTTGTAAGAAATTCTCCTCAGCTAGAACAACTACAGAAATTAAAGAACTGAAGACAGAACTGAATCTTCTGACATTGAAACTGCAGCCTAGCAGGTAAGTGATTAATCCAGCTGGGATATGTGGTTATGATGGATTCATAGCAAAATAAGCTGTGGGCACTGAAATAGAAAAGCCTGTTGGTATAAAAATAACCTGTTGGTTCACTGTGCCCATGTGGACAGTGAGCCACAAGGAGACACTGAAGCCCATGTTGGTTTTGACATCACAGATTCAGGGAATTATTTCCCTTATTATCCTCGTTACCTGCACACCAAATGAGGCAAAATGAAATTTTGTAAATGCTTGAAATCACACTTACTCTGCATTTCCATGTAAGGCTCCACAGTGTGTATCCCTGTTAGTGCCTCTGCCCTTCTCAACACTGCCAGGTGCAGAGAAGGAATAAATTTCAGAAAATTCCTGTAGTTTTACCTGCATCCAAACCACTTCCCAAATAATTAAGATTATTGGTATCAACTCCTCAGGAGTGAAACATCTGCAATTTTGAACTTGCACTGTGGATATTTTCACCCATGAAAATCTGCAGCCACCAAAATCCAGTCACGGGTTCATTTCTGCAGTGGAAGGGCCAGGCTGACAACTCACCTGTCTGCCGGGAAAAGGCACACCTGGGGTGTCCTGGAGAGCTGCAGGAGCAGCCTCGGGTCATCCTCACCCCAGGCTCAGCACTGGGGTCCCCACAGGCTGTGGGAGGTGGGACATGGACAAAAGGATCTGCCCAGGACTCACAGCCCCAGGAAATGTTCTTCCTCACAGCCCCATTTTAAATGGAAATGCAATGATTTCAGCAACAGGAATTAGCATTTATTTATATTATTTATATTATTTATATGCTCAAATTTCGTATTAATCCTGAAGATATAAAAGCTAATAAAAATCAATCAGGAATCTCATAAAAAGACTTGAAAATTCAGCTGGACACAAGATTGAATTTGTGCTCCACATTTTGTGTGGAATGGAAGCCCAAGCACCTCCCTAAGGAAACCTGGGGTAAACAGGTGCCCCAGGCATTGAGGAGGTTCCTGCTGTCACTGATCCTGGCAGGGACAGAACACTCTTACAGAGATTCAAGGCAATAAATATTCGGGCCAAAGCAGAGCAGAGCTTGGCAGCAGAGCTGGTGTTTCCTTACTCCAGGTGTGTGCTCATGTCCAGTGTGATCAGGGCACTGCTCACACACCCCAGGGCTGCTCCTGGTGAGCAAAGAGCACCTGGGACAGGCTCAGGGCAGGGGTGTGAGCTCTCCTGGCCAGCTCAGTGTCCCTGTGCCAGCTCACTGCAGGACCCCTCCCTCTGCAGCTCTGCCATCACGGGGGACACAACCCACGGGATAACTGGCACTGAGGAATTTCATTTCAGAGATCCCACAGGCTGTAATGTGGGATCTGGGGCATGATTCAGGGTTATGTAACAGCTTAAGAAACAGCAGAGTTGACTCACCCCACTGCAAGTTATTTTCTCTCTGTTCCAGAGTGAAACTCATTTGGCTGCATTTAGATGTTCCCTTTATGCTCTTACAAAACTGCTTCCCCTCATCTGCTCTGCCCTGCCAAGGATGCCCCACGCTCCAGAGAATCACAGACTGCTTTGGAAGGAGCTGTCAAGGTCATCCCATCCCAGCCCTGCATGGCAGGGACACCTCCCACTGTCCCAGGTGGGTCCAAGCCCTGTCCAGCCTGGCCTTGGGCACTGCCAGGGATCCAGGGGCAGCCACAGCTGCTCTGGGCACCCTGTGCCAGCCCTGCCACCCTCAGGGAAGAATGCCTTCCTCTTATCCAATGTAAACCAAGTCTCTGTCAGTTTAAAGCCATTTCCCCAATAAAAACTCTAAATTCTTTTAAAAACCAGATTTTTCAAAACTCTATGTAGATAAAATCCATAATCTATAAATTACACATTTAACAAACAAAACTCCCACTGCAACAGGAGGCAATGACCTAATGCAGAACCTTCCCTCATCTCCAGACTTCAAAGATTGTCCTGAGCTCAGTCTGAAGCAGCACAATTGCTGCTACCAAAGTGTCCCTGATGGTCTGACAGGAGTGCCTGCTGCTCCTTCTCCCCTCTGGGAACTGCACAGGCTCATCTCGCCAAGCAACTCAGACTGCTTCACTCAGTGCATCTTCAGCAACAGGGATGAAAATGAAAACTACTGAAAAAATAAATAAATAAATAAATAAAGACACAGAACAAGCAGGTGAAGGGAAACGTCTGCAGAGCCCAGGATCCCACCCTGGCCCCTGGCCCAGGGCTCACTTGCCCCAGCCCTGGTGGCCCCTGCCCGTGCTGCACACCGAGCTGAGCACCAACCCCTGAGCTGCCCGAAAATGCACACTGCAGGAAAGCTGCTGGCATGGCAAAACCCGGGTGGGTGAGCATTGCACACACATTTCCCAAATTCTGGGTGGGTGAGCTCTGCTCACACATTTCCCAAATCCCGGGTGGGTTAGCTCTGCTCACACATTTCCAAGCTCATTTTGGATAAAGCAGCATTTACCAGATAACAAGGCTAATACACCCAGTTCATCCAAGTTTTCCTGCAAACAAAATCTTGAATTTCCAAATCACTTCTTGGACATTTCTAGGACTGAAATTGTGAGCAGCTGGGTGAGGCCCAACATCCTCCCCCCCAGACTCTTCCTGGGACATCAGGTGTCCCTGCAGGACATGTAACCTCAGTGCCCAGCACTGCCACCCCCTCCAGGTGTCATCACCCAGGCAGCTGCACTGGGGCACAGGGAATTCACTACAGAGAAAGGAGAAAATTTATCCAAATTAAAAGCTGCATTTGATAATAAGGTGGCTTTCCAGGGTCTGGAAATCAGTAAATAGAGAAAAGATATTTAAAGCTCATATTTTGACATTAATATTTGGACAAAAGGGCAAGAACTGTCCCAGGCCAGGAACACCAATATGTGAAGTGGTTTTCTTCAGGGAGAAAAAAAGGTGTTAGTGAGGAATGCACATTTCACACCCAAAATATTCCGAGGAGTGTTTGTCTCCAGCATGGGGTTTTATATCACAGGAACGAATGTCACTAATTAGCCCAACTGGGAAGACTTCCTCATTACTGAAAAGAATCTATGAATTGAAGTTAAAATAAGTCCTGCAGCCCTGGGCCCCTGTCACTGCAGCCCTTGCCTGCTGCTCCACTCCTGACACCCCAGGACAGGAGGATGGGGCCATTAACAGGGTAATTAATTACAAGGACAGTGCCTGATTAAACGCTCTGCTCTGACAGCCAGTGCAACAGCAAAGACACAAACCCAGCCAGTGCTCCCCTCTCAGACAGCACTTGCACCAGAAGCAATGCTGAAGGAGTGGTCAGGAGATATAATTTTTTTAAAAGTGAAAGAATTATTTAAAAAGAGGAAGTTTAGGGAAGATAAGTAACTGTTCCAGGCACACAAAACCAAACAAACCCCTCCCTCAGTGACACAGTCAGAAAACACTGCAGAGGAGAGCAGAGCACAGAATCCACAGAGGGTGAGTCTCTACTGTGAGCATTTGTGAATTGTCATTTATTATTGCTTCACACTGACTGAGAGAAAGAGCTGTGCTTACAGCAGGCTGGAAAGGAGCTGGAAATGTTACTGAGAACGTGCAGTGGGCTTGGGTGTTTGAAATGTAGCAACGAGACCAGCATGAATGTAATGTTATTACCTTAAATACAGCTGTTGCCAAATGTATGCATACATTTTATTAACAGTTTTCAGGAATTTCTAACTCCACTTGATAAAAAAAAGAGGTGCTTCCAAACAAGTTCTGTGTATCATATCTTTAAGAAATTATTTAATACCTTGTATTATTACTAGATGCTGTTTTGACTTGTTATTGTAGATTAACGTTAACAAAACTTATTTTTATTGTATTACTGAACTTTAGCTTGTAAGCAGAAGAAATTTCCATAGAGCTCAGACACCTGTGTAGTCCTTCTATTTCCTGTTTCTTTCTCCCTAGCGTTTCTGATTAAATGCTACTGCTGCCAGGTGTCTGTAAATCTGTTAGAATATTATTACTGAGAAACACTTTCCTGCTCGCTATGAAGTGAAACCACAAATCTGAACTATGCAGCCCCAAACTAGGAACACAATCCAGGAGGGGAAACAGCAGCTGACAAAGTTTGTGAGTATCACAGGACGTGCATTTGCACCTGACAGGTTTCCACTCCTCCTTTACAAAGTAAAAGCCGAAAATACTTCATACAGGAACCTAATTCATTTTTAATGTGAAAATCAATGAACTGAAGGCTCAAGCATAAAACTTCAAAAACTCAAACCCGTTGGTGCCTCTGCCCACATCAAAGGAAAGGTTCACAGAGCACCACAGGCGCGGCAGCTGAGATTTGCAGGTTTTCCATCCAGCAGAGCCTGTGCTGAGCCGAGGTGCCCAGAACCGAACCGGGCACCCCGACCCGACGGGCAGCGGGTGAGGGATGAGGAAGGTGAGGGATGAGGAAGGTGAGGGATGAGGAAGGTGAGGGATGAAGGGTGAGGGGCTCGGCTGCACACACACCAGAGGGTCCCGCACTGCAGCCCCGGAGCTGAGCCAGACGGGAGCGGGCTCAGCCCCTGCTCCCCGCAGCACAGCCCCGCACAGCCCCGAGGACCGAACATCCTCAGGAGACAACACATCCTCGGACTGAACATCCCCCATGGACTGCACATCCTCCAGGGACCGAACATTGCCCAGATCGAACATTCCCCCGGCACCGCACAGTCCCCAGGGACCGCACATCCTCGGAGACAGCACATCCTCAGACGGAACATCCCCAGGAGACCGAACATTCCCAGACCGAACCTCTCCCGGGTACCAAACATCCTCAGGAGGCAGCACATCCTCACACTGAACATCCCCCGGGGACCGCGTATCTCCAGGGACCGCGTATCTCCAGGGACCAGACATCCTCCAAGGACCAAACATCCCCAGACCGAACATTCCCCCGGCCCCGCACATCCCCAGGGACTGCCCCTCCCCAGGAAAAGGCGCATCCTGCAGGGACCGCACATCCTCAGACCGAGCATCCCCGGCCCCGCACGGAGGAGCTGCGCCAGTGGAGCGAAGGCTGCAAAGGCCACGGACATTTCCACGGGATGCAAAGCAAAGGGAAACCCCAGCAGCCCGCATCAGCCTGTGAGCTGGGTGACAGCAATTCTGTCCCCACCCACCTGAACAGGTGTCCAGACTCGCTCCCCAGGTGGCTGCAGGACACGCACAGGTCGTACAGGTAAGCTAAAACACACTGTTCTGGGGAGGAGCACTGACAGGGATTCACCACCCCACACAACCTGCAAACAAAAACACCCCAGGTTTGTCCCAATGCACCTGAGAAACGTGTCCCACACTGTCACAGACCGGATAAACCCCTCTGTCACCTGGGAACGTGTCCCACAGTGTCACAGACAGGATAAACCCCTCTGTCACCTGGGAACGGGACAGAGCCTCACCAGGCTGACAGGGTCACATTCGGTGTCACATTCGGTGTCACCTGTGGCAGACGCCCCCAGGGAGCCCAGGGCAGCGTGGGCCAGTGGGCAGGTGTGGTAGCCTGCAGCACCACCACAGTGCAGACAGACAGACACACAGCCCTGCCGTGAGCTCCAGCACAGTGCAGACAGACAGACAGACACACAGCCCTGCTGTGAGCTCCAGCACAGTGCAGACAGACAGACAGACACACAGCCCTGCTGTGAGCTCCAGCACAGTGCAGACAGACAGACAGACACACAGCTCTGCTGTGCAGCTCCCAGCTCAGCCTCCACCAAGCTCAGCTAATTCAGCAGCTGAGAATATCCACACAAATAACAAACTGAAAGTAATGCCCAAGTTAAGCACCTAAAACAGAAGGGGAAAAAAGATTCAGGATAAACTGTGTGGCAAACAAAAGTGCAACTCTCTATTCACTAGAGAACAAGGAGAAGAGGGAACTAAATAAATGGTTAAAGTAGAAAAACCATCCCTCAGAGCTACTCCTCAGAAATCCACAGTCTTTCAGGCTACCAGATGTCTTACTGAGTAATATAATGGTTCAGTCCTGTAATCCTAAAATCCCTTGTGTTAAAATAATCCAGAACTTTATTAATTTTGGAAGATTTAAAAGTAAAATGCATGTATTGATTCTCCACAAGTATCACAGTACAACAGAATGGGGAAGTGCCCAGCACTCAGTTGAAGAGGACAGGAAACTGAAACAGATACGAGCACATGGCATCAAACCTGGGGAATTCGCAGTCTTGTTTTTCTGGCTTCACAGAAAACGTGCAGCAGCTTTGTCCCGATGTCACTGCCCAGAACGAACTCTGCTCACCTGTCCTGCAGGGGCTGTAAGCCCAGCGATGCTCAGTGCTGGCTCCATGAGATCCGGGCTGAGCTGGCTGTGGGGAGCCAAGGGCAGCTGTGACATTCCTGAGGAAAAGCTGGTGACCTGCTCTGGGACTCTGCTGGAGATCTGGGAGCAGGAGCAGCCAGAGTCAGAGTGACTGACTGAGGGCTCTCAGCTGCAGCAGCAGCCCAGGGTCACCACTTGTCACACTGCCTGAGATGTCACCTGGTGCTGATCAGCTGCTGCAGTGTTGTGAGCACTGTCCCCAGGGTCAGGAATGCCTCAGTTTGGTCATTGTCACCTGACCAGATACAACAGGTTACCTCACTAATTTTATATTTAATGGAGCCCTAGCAGGTTTCCAGCGTTACTGATTTAAAAGACAACAAAACCTCAGTAAGTTCTACTCGTGACTGAACAAACCCTACTTGCCCCAGTTTTCCATTGTACCTGGGGCAGATACAGCAGAGCATGAGACACTCAAAAGCCACTGCGAGGTTATTCCAGTGCAGAGGTGACACCCCAGAAGAGCTGCAGGCGTCCCTCGGTGCTGCAGGAGGGTAAGGGACAGGGATCCCTCACATTCCAGGCTTCAGCCCAGCACAAGTGGTGGCAGCCCGGTGCTCCAATGGAAAATGGGATTTGGGCACCCCCAGGCACCAGTGACTGCCAGGTGGAGGAAATCCAGGTGATGGGATGATGTGCACAGCTCCCAGCTCGCTCACAGCAGTGTTGGAGCAGTCAGCATCATTTGTGCTCAGGATTTGCAGGATGTCTTTGGTAATCTGCAGCTGCTGCCTCGCTCCATCCCCACCACAGAGCAGGATCGTGCACTGGTGACAGCTCCAGGACTCATCCTGGAAAGAGCAGAGACAAGTGAAACCCCTTTGCCTGGCCCTGTCATCACCTGCAGGAACCTGAGGGGAAACAACCAACAATGACCCAGAAACACCTCCCGTGGCTGCCACCAGGGAGCCAACAGTGCCAGAGGGAGTCACTGCAGGGTGGGGTAAAAACACAGCAGGGAAAATGCAATATTATTATGAACTCCGTGTGTATTTACAAGGGCAGAGTCAGAGGACACAAACAAATGTCCCTCCAAACTGTCCCCTGGATCAATATTCGGCAGTAAATAGAACTCAGATCTTTAGAAACTGTGACACTTATTACATACAAATCCATTGAAAAAATGATGCAACTCTGAAAGTTGTGTCTTGCACGTCCCAAAGAAATTGAAATGTGTGGTTTATTTCATTGTAACTGTTTATATTTAGTCTTTCAATTACATGAATATATCATATAATGTTGACTTACCGTACATAGCTTAAAAACTTGAAGCACAGCTCTGCAAGTCACATAAGGAAGAAATATTTCCTTCAATAATAACCTTCTCCAAAGTAAAAAATCGATTTCCTTCAAGTGCTTTAAAAGTTTAAGAAACGAGGCTGTGTACAGAAATAACACTTAGGACTGACAAGGGCAGGAGGGGCAGACAGGAACACAGCTCTGTGCTCAGCAAAGTTGCACAACCTGAAAAATCCCTGCTCCCTTTACAAATAGTGCCTCTGGGAGTCAGTCAAAGGCAGGAAGCAAACTGCTAATTATTTCTTAAAATTTCATTTCTCTGTCCTTTCTAGAGAAAACAGAAGCAGAAGCTCACAGTGCATCATCTGCAATCTGCAGCTGAGAAAGCAGAGGAAGGTGCAAGCCCCAGGCCTGGGATGCTCAGCTGCTCCTGCTGGCCCTGCCTGCCCCGAGGGATTCCACAGGGACACTGCCCAGCCCAGGGGGCAGAGCTGCAGGAGCTGCCAAGGACCCGCTGATGGGCAGAGCCCTGTGCCCAGGGGATGCTCCTGGCACCCTGCCCTGGCTCCTGGGGGACACCAGGCCTGGTCCCATAGGACTGGACTTGGCACACGAACCTGCTTCATTCTTCAAAAGCCAATTGTTTCTGCCTTCTAAGAAGAAATAAAGCTTTGTCAGAGATTTGGGCATGAGCTGGGAGCACATCAACTCCCCTGAGTGTGTGTTTTACACACACAGACACACTCACATGAACAACTGCATCCCCACACACTGGGGCCAGCTCAGTGCATTGGTCCACAGCAACTCAAAGCTGACTGAAAAGGCTGAAGCCTCATAACAGATAAAACTCTCAATTCCTTCTTTTTTTTTTTCCCTGTTTGTTTCTCCAGGGAGAGGGAGCACCACAATGCAAATGAAAGCCACAACCCAATTCAGCTCCTCCAGGAACGACAGCAACTGCACCAGCGACAGCAGGGTCAGCCAAGTCATCTTCCCTTTGCTCTACACATTTCTGTTCCTGGTGGGGCTCACCATGAACGGCCTGGCAATGTGGGTCTTCTTTAAAATATCCAGTAAATCCAATTTCATCATCTTCCTCAAGAACACTGTAATTTCTGACCTGCTCATGATCTTGACTTTCCCATTTAAAATCCTCAGCGATGCAAAGCTGGTGTCCTGGGTGCTGCGGGGCTTTGTGTGCCAGGTCACCCAGGTCGTGTTTTACTTCACCATGTACATCAGCATCCTGTTCCTTGGTCTGATAACCATTGATCGCTACCAGAAAGCCACGGCACCGTTCAGGACAGCGACCCCACGGAGCCTGCTGGCTGCCAAGGTCCTGTCCACAGCAATCTGGCTCTCAATGTTTGCTCTCTCGCTGCCCAACATGATTCTAAACAACAAGAAGAAAACGCCCGGGAGCGTAAGGAAGTGTGCTCTCCTGAAATCAGAGTTTGGCTTAGTCTGGCACGAAATTGTGAATTACATTTGTCAGCTCATCTTCTGGGTTAACCTAGCAGTCATAGTGGTGTGTTACATCCTCATCAGCAGGGAGCTGTACAAATCCTACAAAAGGACACGATGCACAGGGAAGGCATCCAAAAAGACTGTCAATCTCAAGGTTTTCATAATAATTGCTGTGTTCTTCATTTGTTTTGTGCCATTCCACTTTACCAGGATCCCCTACACCTTGAGCCAAACGAGAGATGTGTTTGACTGCTCTGCCCAGAACACCCTGTTCTACCTGAAGGAGACCACGCTGTGGCTGACATCCCTCAACGCCTGCCTGGATCCATTCATATACTTTTTCCTTTGCAAATCGTTTAGGAAATCCTTGCTAGACATGCTGTGCCAGCACAGGGCAGTGTCAGGGCTCGGGGCACACACAAAGAACGAGGGGGATGACACTGATGAGACACCACTCTAGATCTCAGTGTGCCACACACCCAGGAGGAGCATCCAGAACCTCACTGGCTGCTTTAGAAAAGAGTCCTGCAGATGAAGCACGAGCACCCCGGAACCACTGCCTGCAAAAACAGAAATCTGGAATAACAGAGGAGTCCCCTCACCCCCAGCCTCCACCCTTGGCAAAACAGGAGCTCCCCTGACCCCAACCTCCACACCTGCCACAACTGCTGGGAAGAAGTCTGAACTTCAAGGTGGAACTGTGGGGAAAAACTTAAGACAGAATCATGAAATGTAAAGATTTTGCAGAAATAGCTAAACTTGGGCCAGAGCAAAGTCCATGACAACACAGGATCTGAGAAACGCAGATAAAATCCTCAGTAGATGTGAATTTTCAATACAAGGAGTTGTCACTTTGTATGCAACTGGCAGACAAACAGAAACCTAGGCCAGATGAAGAGGACCCATTTGTGCAGATTTTTGGTAACAGAATAACACTTTGCTTATCTCATTCTGTGCTTGCAATTCCTAATCCATTGACCAATAATTAATAGTTGTATGTCAGAGGAAATGATTTCATAATCAGGCTTATCTTGATAAGAATTAAATCCCCAAATCCTTCCCCTTACTGCACAAATAAACAGAACTGTATGTTTTCACAGAGAACATTGTATTAGAAAACACACAAACACTCGATTTACATCATACTGAGCTCTTGGGGAAAGACAAGCTCATGGTGACTCCTTTACTGATGATCAAGGGCAGCTTTTTGCACTACACAAAATACTCAACCACTTCCCTTTTTGTACTTGGAAAACTTGGGAAAAAAAAACAGGGAAGTATTTTCAAGTACATGACATTTTGAGGTGTCACAGCAATTGCACATGGAATAGACTGTGGGCTGTTGGAATTAATTGTGGTTCATTTATCAGCCCTGCAAACAGCCCCAGTTGAGCAGAGTGTGTCCCCATCACTCAGGAGCTCATCCTGCCAAAGCCATCGCCTGCACCCTCCCAGGACGTGTCCCTGCCTGCCAGGGCACTTCTGCACCTGAAACCCCATTTCCAAAGCAGTCAGAAGGCAGCTCACCTGTTGCTCACCTGTTGCTCACCTGTTGCTCACTCACTGCCACACTCAGCCATGGGGTTTGTGCATCTCTGATCACTCCCTGGGATGAATTCACCCTGCACAAACTGCTTGGTGCCCTGCTCCAGCTGAGCCCATCAGTGACTGGGGTCCAGCACAGAGCACAGGGCACCAGGATTTCCCTGGAATCAGTGTCCAGTCAGTTCCCAGGAATGCCCAGGGAGGGAAGTGCCAAATGTCCCACTCCCACCCAGTACTCATTCCACACGTTTTGCACCTGCACATGGAGAGAGAGAGTGGCAATGACGCAGGAGCTGCTTTCCCTGAGCAGGTGAGCTGTGCAGAGAGCAGGCACCCCTGTCCCCAGAGCAGCACTGGGGGGTGTGCAGAGGAACAGCTGGGAACAGCACCCAGAGAAAACGTGGAGGGCACTGCCTTGGACATCCTGGGGTGCTGCAATGGGCTGTGACACCTTACCTGGTCACCATGGGTGCACAGAGGGCAGGTCGGGCAGCCAGGGACACGTCACACTGGTGACAGGGCTGAGGTGACCTCATCCCGGCCCTCCTCAAGGCTGTTTGCTCTCAGCAGCCATTTAACACTGACACCAGCACCTGCATTAACCAAAATGTCCCAGGCACTGATGCACAAACTCCCTGCCACAGCTGCAGCCTGGGCACCTCACAGAGCAGCCCACCCCTGTCCCAGGAAAGGGCTGGAGCCACTGCCCACATGGCAGCGAGCCCTGAGCCAGAGCTGCCACAGCCAGGCAGAAAAAACCCGACACAACCAGCTGTGCTCACAGAGAAATGCACCCAATTCCAGAGTTATACCCAGCAAACAGCTGTGCTCACAGAGAAATGCACCCAATTCCAGAGTTATACCCAACAACCAGCTGTGCTCACAGAGAAATGTGTTTGTTCTTCCTGCCAGTGCAGGGGCACCAGGTCTGTCCCACGCACACACAAACCCAGAAAGGTGTCTGTCCTGAGAGATGGTCAGGTTTCCTTTTCCAGTTTAGGAGAAGATGGGGTGTCTGTCCTGAGAGATGGTCAGGTTTCCTTTTCCAGTTTAGGAGAAAATGGGGTGTCTGTCCTGAGAGATGGTCAGGTTTCCTTTTCCAGTTTAGGAGAAGATGGGGTGCCTTCTCATGCAGGGCAAGGGGAACAGACAAAAGCAATAGAAAATACAACTAAGTCAGGCGACATGTGAAAATGAGGAAGGAAACCACACACGAACAGAAAAAGTCTCATCTTTCTACACATTTCCCCACTCTTAACACTTTGCTCGAGGCTCCTGCTGGCAGAGAAGCAGCAGATGAGACAGGGACAGCACAGAGGCCTCTGCTGCAGGTTTGCCCAGGTACCTGCCCAGTCCAAGTGTTTGGGGGTGGGATGGGGTGAGATGGGATGGGATGGGGTGTTTGGGGGTGTTTGGGGGTGTTCAGGAATGGGGTGGGATGTGATGGGATGTGCTGGGATGTGATGGGGTGTGATGGGGTGTGATGGGGTGCTGGGCTAGCTGGTGCCCAGGGCTGGGAGCCACCTATGTGCATCTGACCTTGGAGATGCTGTCTGAAGCTGTGCTGAGAAAGGAAAACAGTGGGTGCTTGGAAAGCATTACCAGAAGTCACTTACCCAGAAGTGGCTGGCTTTAGGGATCTAACATTTCTATTCAATGCTAAAATACATTTCCATGGAAAGATCAAACAGTCTGCTCTTATACCCTGCTATGGCATTACCCTGGGCCTCCAAAATAAGCATGAATATTTTTAACTCTTCAGTGCATGTCAGCTTATCAAAAGTTTAAATTTCAGATCTATATAGATCTATATTTTCAATGAACCAGAAGAGAAATTGGTTGGTGTGGTCATGCTCAGGGTTTGTGTTTATTCCTGCAAACTGGCTGTCACTGTGAGGATCATGTAACATTATACACGGGCTGTGTTTTGTGTTCTCTCCCTCCTTTCCAAGTCTGTTCCCAGAGATGGGAGACCCTGCAAACACGAGCACAGTTGCTAACAGCAGTGGAGCCCCCTCCCCTGCCCCGTGCCCCCGTGACACCACCATCACCCATCTGCTCTTCCCCGTGCTCTACACCCTCATCTTCCTCCTGGGACTCGTGCTCAACAGCCTGGCTTGCTGGGCTTTCTTCCACATTCCAAGCACCTCAACTTTCATTGTCTACTTGAAGAATATCCTAGTTTCTGACTTCATAATGACCCTGATGCTGCCTCTGAAGATCCTGGCAGACTCTGGCCTGGCCCCGTGGCAGCTCAAAGCCTTTGTGTGTCGCTTCTCAGCCGTGGTGTTCTATGACACCATGTACATCAGCATCGTGCTGCTGGGGCTCATCGCTTTCGACAGATTTCTCAAGATTGTGAGGCCTTTTGGGAAGTTCTGGGTGCAAAACCTGACCTCAGCAAAGATCCTGGCGAGCCTGGTCTGGCTCTTCTTCCTCGTTCTGTCTCTGCCCAACATGATCCTGTCCAACAAGGCGGCGACGCCGCAGTCCGTGAGGAAGTGTGCCTCCCTGAAGAGCCCCCTCGGGCTCAGGTGGCACGAGGCTGTCAACTACATCTGCCAGCTCATCTTCTGGACCGTCCTCATCCTCATGCTGCTGTTTTACGTCATTATTGCCAAAAAGGTGTACGAGTCCTACAGAAAAACACAGAAGAAAGACAACAGAAGCGAAAAACGGATCAAGGGGAAAGTGTTCATCATTTTTACCGTGTTCTTCTTATGCTTTGCCCCCTTCCACTTCAGCAGGGTGCCCTACACTCTGAGCCAAACCAGCGGCCTCATGGGCTGCCGCCTGCAGAACCAGCTCTTTGTGGCCAAGGAGAGCACGCTGTGGCTGGCAGCCACCAACGTCTGCATGGACCCCCTGATCTACCTGCTCCTGTGCAAGCCCTTCGTGGAGAAGGTGCTGTGCAGGAGGGTGAAGGCTCTGCACAGAACAGTCCACCCCAGCCCAAACACTGAGCTGGACACGAGGGTGTCCCCCACTGAGTCCTGATTCTGCACTGCACGCCCTGCTCTGCGTGTTCATAGAGAACTGGGGAAATAGCTTGGTCTTCTTCTGCTGAAGAACACAAAAAGCGTTTGCCAAGTCATATTAACAGTCAATAAATGCAGCAAAATGGATTTTCTATGTACACTCACTGCATGGCCTCGATGGGCAAAAGGCTCCTGCTCAAACTAAGACAATCCCCAGGTTAATTCTACCTGCTTTAAACTGAAACAACTTACTTGCTAAACCTGAGCAGCTTACTGACCCCAGCTGCTCCAAAGGGCAATTCAGCTTTATTTGGGAGAAAACCCCAGAGCTGTTCACTGTGTTTGTCAGTGATCCCTGCCCTGAGTGCCAGCCTGGCTGCACATCCAGAGCAAGGAGGAGGAGGAGCAGAGGGAAGGACAGGATCCCTTCCCATCCCTCCTCACCTCTCTCACACATGTCATTCCTTTCCTGCCACCCTCACTGTTCCAGCACCCTTCCTCTCTGCTCCCAGCAGGGCTCTGGTGCAGGGCAGTGCTGGAACACCCCAGTTTCCCCCAGGACATGCTCCTGCAGCCCCACAGAGGGACCCCAGAGCCATGGGGTGCTGAGCCCACCCTACACTCAGCAGGGAGGAGCACCCAGAGATGTCCCCCGTGGTGGCACCTTCACCCTTCCCAGTCCCAAGGCCAGAAGGGAGCAGGGGACACTCCTGAGCCTCCCCAGCCAGAGAATCCCTCCCCACCCACAGAGCTCTCCCCTGGCTGTTCCACAGGGATTGTGCCTGCACAGAAATACTTTGTATTTCAAAATTCTGGAATTTATGTCACTGTCTCAAGACAGCAGTGTCCCTTATCCCCAACCATCCCTTCTCCTCCAGCTTTACACTCTCTCACATGTGCCAGACACTTTGATCACCACTTGACTGCTATTTTTAGAAATTCACTGTTTACAGCAGCCTAATCCAATCCAGCAGGTTGCTCCCTACAGCTTGATTTTTTCAAAGTTGTTTTAGATTGCTGTGCATCAATTACATCTGCCTCTGGGTTTGCCCAGTCTCTGCCATATAGGGAGATAGATGTATGTCTTATTTAGCAACTTTTACCCACTACATCTTCTTCAGCAGGCATGTTACATCCCTCCCACAGCTGTAACTCCCTTCCGAACTGGAAACTGAACTAATCTCCAATCAATGGGTTCTGAATTTCCCTAATAATAAATCAGTGTTATCTCAGCCATTGTCTACCTCTCAGGTTGAATGCTGTTGCATTAAAGGCTCTCCCCACACACTGTTAGCAGGATTAACTCTGCTCCTTTAGGAAAAGCAAATATAATAAATCCTTAGCTGCTGAAATAGTCAGCACTTTAGTAACTGCTCAGAGGAACATGCAGGAGGCTGGAAATGCTCCTCTCAACCTGCTGGCACAGCGTGACAATTAACAGAGGGGCCTGGGCTAAACACTGGGAGAAGGGGGTGTGTAAACCTGCTGTGACCTTCCCCAAAGCAGCTGAAAAACCTCTGAAACCTGTGCTCCCAAACCTGGCATGTGAGGGAGGAATTCAGGACAAAACTCCATCCAGTCCTCCCTTCTGACCACACCAGCACAGCCAACACAGAGCCCCAGGACTCCCAGCCCTGACTGCAGCCAGCTCTGCATCCACACAGCAGTGTGGCAGCGAGAAAATAAGAAGATGCTGAGGAGCAGAATTTTCTTTCCTTTTCTGATCTGTGCTTGTGCTCGAGGCTCACCCAGCGCTGTGCACACACACGGGCAGCTCAGGGCTGTGTTAGGGTGGGTGTAACCACAAAATGGGATGAGCTGGTCCTTAAATAAAGGGTGTGCCAAAGTTTTCTGAGGAGTCTTAATCATCTGTTTTTCAGCTGTTGCTTCTCAGGTAGGTAAAAGGGAGCCAAAGCCACCAAACTCTGTAGCAAAGCAGTGAAGGTGACAGCAAAGACACAAGACCTGCTTGATCCACTCAGGGGAAAAAGTCCCTGAATTCTAGCACTTGGGATTTTTCACACTTTTTCTACAAAGTTTAGATCACTGCCTCCAGATGGAGTAAAAATCACAGCAGTTAAAACGCCTCAAAGTTTAGGTCTCTGTTTTTTAAGGCTCAGAGAAATACCCCAAGCAGCATTTTGCTTTTGTGATCAAACAGAGCCGTGTTTGGAGAGCAGATCTCCCGTGGCAGGAGGCCCAGAGCTCAGCAGTGTGCCGTGGAGATTCCTGCACTCCCAGATTCCTTCAGTGCGCCCAAGGGATTTATGGAATTCAGCAGAGTTTACCAGCATATTCAACACAGCAGTCACCATTTTTCCAAACCTGCTTTGTCTCCCCACGCAGCTGGAACGTGCTGGGGCTGCCCTGAGCAGAGCCCTGGCTGTGAACTGGCACAGCTGGAGCAGCTGGGCAGGGCAGCAAACACCAGCACATCCCATTGCCACCCTCCCTGTGCCCCTCCAGCCCTGCACACCACGGGGCAGTACCAGGGCTCTCCCTTCCCACACTCCAATGTTCCCTTGCATGGCTTGTCCTCACTCCAGACAACCCAAAAACTGAAAACTGGCACGAGGCTTTGAACCCATGTGCAGAAGTGATCTTTGTGCCATGGGCCAGCTCCACACAAAGTACTGACACTTGCCCTAAATATCTCTGCAGGTTCCTGGAAAGGGAACTACAGGGCACTCAGCAGGTGAGTTTAATAGGAAATCACTCATTTGTGTACGTAGGCTTACACAAATTTTTTATTTTACTTGTGTTTCAGAAAAAGGAAGTATTTTATACCTTCACCTAACACTGGCCTGCCTCTCCTCAGAGGGACACCTGGCAATTCCTGAGTGCCCAGAGACAAGCTGCTCTTCAGGGGCATCCTGACCCTTGGCACAGCTCCAACATCCCCAGCCAGGCTCCCTCAGAAAACCCTCACAGCACACAGCAGTGCTTCAATTAATTGGAAATGCAAAGCAATCATTTGCATCCTGAACAAGAGCTGGGCAGACAAGTCAAGCAGCCAAGCTCTGACCCACATGATGGCACATGCACAGAGCCAGGAGGGCACTGCAGGGCAGCACTGAGGGCACCAGGGCAGGATCAGCCAGCCAAGGCCTGGAACTGCAGGCTCCAGGATACACAGGTATGCAGGGACAGGGACAGCAGCACACAGTGGGGAACCTGAGCACAGAGGGAAAAGCAACTGAGCTTTTAAAGTCACTTCTTAATTAGGTACTTTCCTCCTTCCTCCCCTGTTAGTGACAGGCATCACACTGGAGCAATCCACATCAGGAGAGGGGAAATGTCAGCTCTGCCAAGACTCTTCCCTGACAAAAGCTCCTCCACCTTCAGTCTGCAGCTGGAACACTGCAGAATCCTCCCCATGCTGCAAGCTCTGATCTTGCTGACACTTTTCTGCTTAAAAAACAGAATCAGCCAGTCCTGTGCACTACCCAGGTGATGAATCTGCTTTAGCACAACCTTGCACTTCACATTGCTAAATATGGCAGTGAAGGCACCTCAGAATGAAGCAACACAGTAATTGTTGTAATAACGTAGTTCAGGCTCTTATGAAACCTGAGAGCTGCTCTCTAATCATCAGAACACAAGAAGGGACGTCCAGCCTGTAAATAATGTGAACAATAGTTAAGTTACAGGTTACCTTCAGCTCTTCTTTACATCAGACCTTGGCGTTTCTCTGTGCTGGTTTTACGATGAGCTCCCCACGTTTCAGAGTTTCGTGTGCCAGCTCGTCCTGACCTGCTGCAGCCTGGGAGCAGCCAGCAGCACGTCTGCACTGGAGCCTGCTCTAACCCAGCACGGCTTAGCTACACCAAAATACCGAGATTTTAAAGAAAAGTTAACGTTACTTCAACCATATTCAAAAACTAAACAAACCAAAACCCCATTCTGGTGCAGATTTTATTTTGAATTTGACCATTACTAACACACCTGTGTGTGAGCTCTACCCCTTGAGTGCCAACCCCTAAACACTTGGGTCTCTGTAAACAATTAAATTACATTCTTTAAACATTCCAGTTTTCACTTTCATTTTCTCCTCTCTTTCCCCACGGCACATCCTGCTGCTCTGGATCTTGGACTCCAGCCTGGGACACCACCAGCACAGGCAGTGTCAAAAAGCAGCAGCACAAATAAAGGCAGCACGTGCTGCTGTGCCTGGACTGCAGGAGAGGCTGCATTCCCTGGATCCAGCTGTGCCCTGGATCCAGCTGTGCCCAGCTGTGCCCCTGGATCCAGCTGTGCCCCTGGGCAGGGAAGCAGGAGCTGTGCTCCTGGCCAGCCCTGGCTCTGGAGCTCGGTGCCCCGTGCAGGGCACAGAGCGTGCAGGGGCTGGTTCCAGGAGGGCACAGAGCCCTCCACACCCTCTGAGCTTTGTTCCCCATCTCCAGCAGGAGTTTGGCCGCTGCCAAGCCCCAGAGCACAGGGACAGGCGGCAGCAGGTGCAGTGGAGGCTGGCACACACAGCCACGTGCAAGGCAAAGGCTTCACCAGGTCTGCTCTCCCTGCCTGCAGGGAAAGCCTTCCCCATCCTCAGGGGTGCCGTGTGCTGCAGCAGCGACCATCCCCTGCTGCCAGGATATCCGGGGATGATTTGGCAGCCTGTGATAATAAAGAAAACACAACAGAGTGAATCTGTGTTCCTGCAGCTTCATCTGCATGGGTTTGCTTTGCCTTGCAAAGCCTGGGCTTCAAAGCTGTGCCAGCAGTCCCCTGTGATCAGGGACTGTGCCTGGCTCAAGGCAGAGGTCCCGAGGCAAGAGGAAATGTTGCAGTCTGCCCACAAGCAGAAATGTGGGATTTAGCCCAGGGTTCCTGGCCAGAGGCCAGCAGAAGCTGCTCAGCACTGCAGGAGCAGCAGGTGGGTCCTGCCCTGGCCCCTCGCAGCTGCCAGGGCTCCTGTGCACAGGGGGGTCCAGCCTCAGCACAGGGACACCAGGGGCTCGGTCCCTCACATAGCTGAGAAAATTAATTTAAAATGTCTATGGAAAAGTCCACGCAGAACAGACAGAAAATGGCCTTGGCAGACTCTGCTCCCAGAGCACTGGGATTATTTTTTCTTTTTGCCTGAATTTTTAATGAGAGAGATGGGAATTTGCTTTCTTTAAAAAAAAAGGCAGCAGATATGGAAAATTACCCACTTCATCCTCCACTGACAGGAAGGAGAACTTTGTCCCAGTAGAACAGTCCCAGTATAATATGTC